CCCATGACACATACACACACACACATTCTTACAGAAGTTCACACATATACATACAATGCCTTGTCTTAGAACCATGTGGGCGTTGCTTTGCTGTGATGTGTTTTGTGTGAACTGTCTCTCAATAAAAGGCAGCGGGAGGAGGCCGGATTTGGGGTCATTTCGTGGTAGACATCAACGAGGCCTCCCTTGCAAGTGAGACGACCGATCGCTGTTGCCTTGTTTTTCTTTCACGGGAATAAGTCCTGGATACAGCGGGGTCTGAGTTTAGACCCAACAATTACACTCAGGGGACAGTTGTTTTTATATACTTAGTTTGAGCTGATGCAGTATAACACAGGCTGCAAGAGATTGTACCTTTATGGAGTTTACAACATTATAATCTTTTTGAAGGCCAATCAGAGTACGTCATTCTGAGAGATGTTTTTGTTATTCACTTTACTCTCATTAATACAAACAGGGTGTCTTCCTCCAGTCATCGCTTCCTCCTCTGAAAGCCTGTCCTCGACTTCATCTGTGATTCCTCAGCTCGTCCCCCCTGTCATTGTAGATGTTCAGGAGAGACGAGTTGCTTCTTAGTGGAGCAGTCAAGCTGAATCTCAAGCAGACAACCTCCCTGACTCCAGGTGGTCCCAATGATTCACCCATACAAATGATGGAGGTGAGAAAAAAAATACTGAGTGAGAGACAGTGGAGCTGTAGCTCCCTCTGTAGGCAGCGTTAAAGCATGTTGTTTGATCTCCACTGAAATCTGGAAGTTTGATGTGTGGTGAAATCTTCCTGTCTTTTCAGTCTGGTCATAAGGAAATGCAACATTTCTTTCAAACCAACTTCAGCAGCAAGAGTTCAATTGTTTTCAGTTTCCCACCACTCGTTACACACAGACAGTACAACACAGCTGGGTCCTCATTACACACCAAGCACTGGCCAGGAGGGTTATCGATCCACACGTGATGTCCTGCCTCACGCAGCCACGCAATGAGTAGTTATTGATGCATGTGTGTGGCAGAGTGTGTGTGAGGATTTACTGTTCAGTCCGTGAGCAAGAGGAGAAATGGAACAGAACAAAAGCTCTTCAGATGCAGCTCATTATGTAAATGCATCCTTTTTTTTCTTTTACATAAGCTGTTTGACTTCTTGAACACAGACAGCGCATTAGGGTTGTAGAGATGTTCGGCTCTGCAGGTTCTTGCAAATTATTGGCTGAATGTAAAGCTCCCTGACACTTTCCTGACAGCCACCAGATAGAACAACGATAGAAACGAAGCCACAGCAAACGGAGGAATATTAATTATATGCAATTTGTCGGATCAAAAGCAGCATGCTTCAGAAACTTCCGCTTCTGTGAACTGAATATTTCTCTATTTCTGTGAACTCTCCTTCAAGTGTTAATCAGTGCACCCTGTAGCAGAGGAGATGCAAGCAAGGGACTCCAGATAATTAGCCTTTGGTCTCTTCAAAACTTTGTCTCTGGCAGGCAACCAGAATTATTGTCACAATTTCAAGGTTGGCAATGGAGGCTAGGGGTTACACTTTTAATGAGTGAGGGAAAACATTTCCTCTTTATAAAGGAACAGCAATAATTATTCACAGTAGCATGGCAGGAAAGAAATTAAAAACAGCTTCTTTAAACAACATTTCCCAGCAACACTTAGAGTTTTCAGCCATGCTCGGATATTTGCACTGACCCCCGGTCCTGTGAAGAAGCACCCTTCACGAAGACATGCAAGACAGCCTCACTGCACAGTCAGCTGTGACTGAATACTAAATAGGTGTCACCTCCTGACGCGCTCCCAGAGGCTGACACTTTACACTATTCATCAAAATCGCAGCCAGAATACTGCTCGGGGGGTTTCTCATTTTTCCCTCATGAAAATTAATGATAAACACAGCACACATAGACGTTTATGCTAGCACAGGCCAACATCAGACAATGTTGGTTTGCTTACCAACCATCATGTCAACCATTACAAATATCTGAAGCAATTTATCATAAAATTAGTGTCCGCTGGAAATTTAAGCAGTCATGAATAATTATTGAGCTAAATCTGCTACTTCATGCTGCTGGTATGAAAAAAAGACTACTACAAACAGCTGTAAGTGACATGTCTCCAAAGGTTGATTCTGTCCTGGCCTGACGAGGGAGCTCTTCTGTGTTGTGCCATCCTCTTTGCCAGAGGTTGTTTGGTTTCCCCGATGTATAAATCCTGGCAATCCTCCTGCACTTAACAGCGTACACTATGTTACTCTGTTTGTGTCGGGGGACCCGATCCTTGGGGTGGACCAATTTTTGGCGCAGCGTGTTTTGGGGGTTAAAAGCCACAGAGACCCGGTGTTGCGTCTCAACTGTTCTGATACTCCTGACACATATGGGATCACTACAGGTTTTCGCTTAGGCAGCGGTTGTCCTTCTCTCCTGGATCGGCTGGAGCTTTCTTTAGGATCTTTCCCAGCTTTGACAAAAGTCCGGCTGGGATAACCACATTTACTCAGGGCCTTCTTGATGTTCCTCTGCCTCCCTGGCTGCTGTGTCAGTGGGGATGGTGTTCGCTCTGTGTTGTAGCGTCCTGGTGACGCCCAGTTTGTGCTCCAGTGGATGATGAGAGTCAAACCTTAGATACTGATCCGTATGTGTAGGTTTACGGTACACATCAGCTTTTAGATGTCCCCCATTACTGATGGAAATCTCACAGTCTAAGAAGGCTAACCTGCCACTTTTCATGGGGCCATTTATGTGAAAAGGGAAAGACCATCTCTGAATCGAGGAGGGGGCCTAAGGGTACATCTGTCACCATCTTACAATGCTGTGATTGCAGCCATTCCCCAACTCTCTGTGAATGGGACTCATGGCCATTAATCAGTGGTTGTTGATCAATGGTCATGACCTCCCAGCCCATTGTTCCTTCAGTGGGCTGGTTTCAGTCATTATGCAAATGTCCTGTTTATAAGATTGAAACCTGCAGTCAGCTGAGACTGAAGAAGTCACCTGGATGATGACGAAACATTTCTCCAACTGAAAACGCTATGTCCAGATGGACTTACCTGGATGATTAAGAATGCATCAAGACGATGTAAGTGACGTGGATTTTCTCCACCTGTTAAGTATGAGTGTGTGAGATAGAGATCAAAACCATGAGAGCTAACTAACTAACAAGCTAGCACAGAGAGGACCTACGCGCCAACCAGCATGTTCAAACCAGAACTTCTTTTACATGTGGACTACATTTGACCTGTTTTCAGTGTTAAACTGCACACCAGCCCTACCTATAAAACCGAGGCTTAAAGTCAAACATTGCATCCTAATAATATGCACCATACTGGCACTTTTAAATATTTGCCAGTATGGTGCACTTTATATATTTAAAGTGGTAAAAGGTGTAAATTTTAGATTATTTCTTTTCTCTTTTTTTTGCATATGTAAATATTAGACAAAGATAGCGCAAGTAAATACAAAATGTACTTTTTAAATGATGATTTCGTTTAATGAGGGATAGAAGCTATCCAAATTCATACGTGAGAAAGTAAAAAATCTCAAAGAAACACCACCATCATGCCATATTTTGAGGAAACTTGAGAATAGATGAGAAAAACATTCTGGAAAAGTTTACAAGGTCGTTGGGAGGAAAACTTTGAACAGTGGTGAACTTCTCTCCAAAATGACTCCAAGCACAAACACAACTCATCCAGGAGACCACAAAAGAACTGAGAACAACATCTAAACAACTGCAGTTTTCTGTTGTCTCAGTTAAGGTCAATGTGTTCATCATTTACAATCAGAAAGCGACTTGGCAGAAATGGCATCTGTGTTCTAAGACGAAAATGACTGCTTACTAAAAAGAACAATAAAGGCTCAACTCACATTTGCTAAAATCTGATGATCCCCAAGACTTTGTGAAAATATTTTTCTGGGTTGATGGGACAAAAATGAACTTTTGGGAAGTTTTGTGTCCAGTTATCTCTGGCATTTCAAAAAATATCAAATAGTCAAACATGGTGGTGGTAGTGTGATGATCGGGGCTGCTACAAGACAAGACTCTCTGCCAGAAAGTGCTGAAGGAAATGCCAAACTGCTTCAGCAGGGCTTTAAACGGGTCATTCAAGTTTGAAAACGTCTGCAAAATTCTGCAAAACAAACACAGGCCGAAATTCCTCCCCAGCCATGTGAAAGACTCTTTTCCAATCTAAGAGCAATACTAACACTAAAAAGACGTATTAAACTCCTCTTACCTGAGCCAGCATATTCCTGTGGTCAGCATCCCTGTACAGGGGCAGGTACTTGTGTAGGATCTGTAGGGTGTGCTGTTTAAAGATGGCTGTGATGTACACGGTGCACTCCACTGTGGAGACTGGCTTGTTGAAGACCCCATACGCAAACAGAACCCCCTCCTCGGACGTTGTACCTGCAAGACAGAAAACAACATTACTCTAAAGAAACAAGTAGATGTCTGCGTTGCCTGTGGACTTGCTGTGATTCTTCTGCCCAATGGCTTTTCTGACCGTCTCTGTACTTAAAAATCAAACATTGCCTTCAGCTTTGTCATGATGTCGGAATTTTCATATCAAATAGCTGTATAACAAGAACCAGTGGGAGTTAAGCAGAAAGCTGAGAGAATAAAATATAAATCGTGAATAATAACAGTAATAATACAAAGTGGTTTCTCTTATAGCTCTTACCCAGCAGTATTGGCTTTTCTTTCTGCCAGTGCCCCTTTTGAAAGGCAGTGACAGCCTGCTCTTTGATTAACTCCCCGTCGATACACGGACCCCACGTCTCAAAAACCTCCAGAAACCTGAATGGGTTCAAAATCTTGGAACCTGGGATCAAAAACAGATTGGCAAGTTAAAGCACAGAGGGAAAAAAGTATATTAAGCAATGCATCGTATGCAGAGTTATAAAAACTCAAAATCCTATTAATGTGATTTATTTGTCTAAGGAAGGGAGCTTTTCAGTCTTATACTATAAACTTCTTCTCCAGAGTGCATTTTCCTGCCTCAATTATAAGCTATAACCGTGAGTTCACCCATCCTGAAAACTGCTGTCGATGATGTAATCACAGTGATACAGATCAATAACTATGTCGGGCCTGCAGATATATCAAATTTATTCCTTGCTGTTAGACAGTAAAATTACTCTAATTGCCCCTTTAGAGGCTCATTGTTCAGTCATAATGATTTTGTTTACAAGTATCTCACTATGAACATGTTTTTCACAGTCATTTGCAGACAAATATACTATATCCTGCTTCCTTATGTAATATGTGGGCAGCAATGAGTGTTGCTCTAAATCTGGGGTTTGTGGCGTCCTACTTGTTTTCATCTGGGCGGCCAGGATGGCCTGCGGAGTGAGAGACAGCAGGCAGACAAAGTCGCTCACAGAGCAGTTTGTCTGTTTAGCAAAGTCTCTTCCCAGTTTCAGGGCATCATGTCTGGGAAAGATGTGCAGAAAAAAAGAAAATTACATTTCAGCTTGAAGTCATCCTGAAATGTGATCAAGATCTTTCACGTAATCTAACGCTCAGCTTTAACGTTTTGATCGCTCGGTATCCTTTAAACCCCATCGAAGCATGCATCTATCTCACATCCATGCCCAGTATTGCCTGAGCTGTTAGTTCCTCACCTGGTCTTCAGAGGGATGGAGAAGGGCAGGCTCTGCAGGATGGCCTGGCTAAACAGAGGCTTGCTGCTTTGGATCATCAGGTGAAGGCTTACCGACTGAGCGCCTGCACTCTCCCCAAATACTGTGACCTGATTTAAAAAAATGTCGCTACTTAAAATTCTTTAACTTAATTTCTGTTAATATTGCAAAAAATATTAATTTCAGATCAAACAAAATACAAACAAAACAATGAAAGTTAGGCTTAGTAAATGTAAGACATGTACATCCAGGTGATCATAGTCTAAGGAGCTTGGAAAGAAAAGCGAGTTTCCTTCTTCAAGGAAACTTTGTAATTTGGAGTTGGCTTGACCTGAGAAAGGCTTAACTTATCAGGGTGTAACAGAAATAACCTGTTCCTTACCAGGTAATAAAATTAGGTAAAATAAGCTCAGATGAGCAACAAAAGAGGACATATTATATCATCTCATTATTTATTTAACAAAAATTAAATTAAGCCAAAATGTAGAAGAAGTTTGTGAAAACTGAGCATGCCCATACTGCTCCCATAGAAAGTGAAATTATAAAGTGGTGCTGATAATCAAATGCACAAACTGTTCATCAGCAAAAAACTTCTGCTATGAGAGCAGAAGTTTTGGCGCTTTGCTGGTCTGGATAATTCAGGTATATATGAGGATAAAGAGCACCAACAATAGTGGGCCACAAACATTGCCCTACAGGCCTCAGTTAGCATGTTAAATATGATAATGATAAAGGAATATTAAGAGTTGCAAGGAGAAAGTCTCTTTTCACTAAAAAGAACATGGTTGCATGGCTAAGTATTGGAAGGTTGCATCTGAAAAAGAAACAAGAATTCTGGATCAATGTCCTTTGGACAGATGAGACCAAAGTGCAGATATTTGGCTATAATTGACATGTTTGTTTGTTTGTTTATTTGGTTGGTTGGTTGGTTGGTTTGGTTGGTTTGGTTGGTTTGGTTGGTTGGCTGTTTGTTTGTTTGTTTGGTTGGTTGTTTATTTGTTTGTTTGTTTGTTTGGTTGGTTGGTTGGTTTGGTTGGTTGGTTGGTTGGTTGGTTGGTTGGTTGGTTGGTTGGTTGGCTGTTTGTTTGTTTGTTTGTTTGTTTGTTTGTTTGGTTGGTTGGTTGGTTGTTTATTTGTTTGTTTGTTTGGTTGGTTGGCTGTTTGTTTGTTTGTTTGTTTGTTTGTTTGGTTGGTTGGTTGGTTGGTTGGTTGGTTGGTTGGTTGGTTTGGTTGGTTTGGTTGGTTGGCTGGCTGTTTGTTTGTTTGTTTGTTTGTTTGTTTGTTTGTTTGGTTGGTTGGTTGGTTTTGTTGGTTTGTTTGTTTGTTTGTTTGTTTGTTTGTTTGTTTGTTTGTTTGTTTGGTTGGTTGGTTGGTTGGTTGGTTGGTTGGTTGGTTGGCTGGTTGGCTGTTTGTTTGGTTGGTTGGTTGGTTGGTTGGTTGGTTGTTTGTTTGTTTGGTTGGTTGGTTGGTTGGTTGGTTGGTTGGTTGGTTGGCTGTTTGTTTGTTTGTTTGTTTGTTTGTTTGGTTGGTTGGTTGGTTGGTTGGTTGGTTGGTTGGTTGGTTGTTTGTGCCAAACAAAACAAAACACACCATATCAGCATAAAAACCTCAAACTAAATGTCAAGCACGGTGGTAGAGAGGTGTTAATTTGGGCTTATTCTGCAGACACATGACCTGGGCACACTGCAGTTATTGAGTCAACTATCCTGTTTCAAGTATTCTAGAGACAAAAGTGAGTCTGACAGCTAAAGCTTGGCCTCGGTCTTACAAGAGGACAATTATCCCAACCACACCAGCAGATAAACAACAGAATGACAGAAAAAGGTAAGAATTGTGATGTCAGATGATGTCACTGAAAGCAGATCTCCTTAAAATGGCCATCTAAGGGCACTTGAATGCTGTTCCAATCTGTTGTTTGTGAAGGGCAACAAATCACAACAACGTTGTATTAAAAGAAAAGTGGAATGATGATCCAAAGTACATGCTTTAAGTAGAAAGTTAATTAAGATGCTGCATTTGACAGGAGATAAACAAAAAATGACTTTAAACTGTAAAAGTTACTCTAGCAAAGTCCAAGAATTAAATATGGCGTTGGAAATAGCGTAATACTTTTGGTCTAAACCAAACCAAGTGAGTTATCAAATTTGGAAATGTGTTTCCTTTTTTTCCCTCTGAGATAATCTTCTTTAAATGTTTATACTTTATGAATTTGAGAAAATATGTCGGAGCTTCTGAGCATAAAGTTTACAATGAGTAGCTTTAATTGTTGGAAGCAACTGCGTCACTATTTTCCCCACAATGACTGTGGTCATTCTCTCAGTATTTTCCCCTTTTTCTTCTTTTGTCCTGTTTTCTTACAATGTTTATTCCCACACAATATTGTACCTTATTAATAAATGCCTTATTTTGAAATAATTATCTTAGGTGTGTGTGTGTGTGTGTGTGCTTGCTTGCCTTGGCGGGATCCCCTCCAAACACAGCAATGTTCTGTTGGACCCAAAGAAGAGCTGCCTGTTGGTCCAGGATCCCATAATTCCCTGCAGCTGATGTGTGAGGATCTTTTCCCGACACAAGGAACCCAAATGCACCTTTAATGCAGGATTTCACATGATCAACAAGACGTAATTGACTAAGGCAAGACATTCATTTCCTCCGAGCTCCAAATTACTGTTCACATATCAGAGCTCCTGTTTTCAGTCTCGCAGGAAAGCAGAGTAATTACCAACAGGCTCGGCCATTTAAAGTGGCACACAAACATTATTCAGGCTCGTACTGTCTCACACACACAGACGCACACATGCTCTCTATAATAAGTAAATTCTTATTTTCACTAAGTGATTCCACGAGTTTCTTGTTGTTGCCTTTGAGACATCCGCTGCTAACGTTCATCTGAATGTTATCCCTGTGTGCACAGTGAAATCTGACGTGGGATCATATACACAGGCTATTACACATTAATGGATCCATTTAAACGTAATCCTTCTTACCCAGTCGGTACTCCAGGCTTACAACAACACTGTGGGTGAAGTTACTAATAAAACGTCCATCATACAGAGGCTTGGAGGCAGAACCAGCAATGAAATCTCCACCATGGATCCAAACCATGACAGGCAGGTGGCTCTGCAGAGGAGAGCTCAAGTCCACATCCAGCGGTACAAAGATGTTGAGGTAGAGACAATCCTCACTGACCTTTTTGGAGACATTAGAGGATGCAGGTCATTCAATTTTTCACTTTTTGTTGTCACTTTTATCTTGTTTTGTTTTTTTCTTTTGAATTTAATAGTTCTGGCCATGTGTGACACGGATACACGGATACATGGATACACGGATATGAGTTGGGAGGCAATTGCCAGCCAGGTGAAAGGTAAAAACTGCAGATAGAATATAAATTATTTATTTAGTGTTTATGGTACAAACTAATTAGTAGGCTCACAGAGCAGGTTTCTTATACTCCTTACACCTTATTTAGGACTAAATAAGGACATTTGTCCCCTTTGAGCACCGTCTCTTGGTTGGTGCTTACTCACATTTTCTGAAGGAATTTTATTGATATTGTTTGTTAGTTGTTTTTAATAAAGTTTAATTTCTCAGAGATTAGATAGTCCCAGAGCTCCATATACGAGTGCTTGGATTCCCCGCTTTTTGTTAAATGTTCTGGTTCTTATAGGATGCTTTTGTACTTTACTGGAGCGCTCATAGCATTTTATATAACATACTTTATTTACCCATTTACACACATTCGTACTCCAACCTATTGTGCAACTGCTTGGGGTTAGTATCTTGGTTGGTGGTTGGTGATCTCAGCCAGATCGAACCACCAACCTTCCAATTATTGGACGAGCAGCTCTACCTCCTGAGCTACAGACTGTTCATTGCCTCAGTTATCTGCTGTCATATTACCAACATACATTCTGCAGTTATTTTAAGTGGCTAGCACTTTTGTTATTGTTGTTGTTATGTTTTTAAATCATATTTAGACAGAAAGTTGATTCAGAAAGCTTATTGTATTAGTGTAAGGACATAGTTCTTATTTATATACACAGATATTGTTAATAGTCTTGGTAGGTTTGCTGGTTTAAACAAATAGATGGATAACTGGAGCATGTTGTTTAAAACTCTTAATATCACTAACTTAAATTACATTTGGATTTTGACTACTTTTCTACTCACACAAGATTATTATCAGCTGTCCTTAAAAATCTAGCATACAGCAAAGTAGCTAGCATAACTGTAAATAACTGTACTAGTTTGTATTCTGTAAATACAATTTAAATATATAAAAAATAAATATAATATATAAATATACATAGATTTTTATTTATATATATTTGTCACTTTGAGAATCTTCTTGCTAAATATAATTGATTAACAATGGCCTCATAAAGGGACGCCACTCCATGTGACGTGAGCCTTACAACGTGGATTGTTCACTTTTACTCTAATGAAATTAGTTTCATCTCTGAGTGCAGAATTTAGCATCCATGGCTTCATCACACTCTCAAAAGTAACGGCAGCTCTTTTGATCCACCTGCATCTAATCAGTCTAATTGAACTGAATATTAAATATCTTTGACATGTGAAAGTTTGTGTGCACTAAGCCTATGCAAATTAAAATTTCAGTGTTATACTGTTAGTGTCATAATTAGCATGTCAGCACATTAATCACAACAGCTATGTATTATCACAAAGCAGCAGAACAGAAGCAATTAAAATAACCTCGAGCTGTAACATTAAAGTGATATAAAACATCATAGCACGATATAAAGAAATACAAGATTGTAATACACCTACACTCTTAGGGCACTCCTCAGTGATAGCTTTACTGCAGAATTGCATACATGCAGCCCTGGGAAAGGAGGCATCATAAACCCCGCGCCAAGGACTCACGGGTCTGGGGGGCTTCCAGCGGTAAGCCCCAACAGGAGGACTTGCGTACGGAACACCATAGAATACATGGGCCTTATCCACAGTGACCCCCTTGATCTGGCCATCTTTGGTTATCACCACTGGTCCAGCAGCCCCATCTGTATCCTGAGTGACAGGTTTGTCCTTGGTTTGCTGTATGATTGCAGGGTCCCCCGGGCGTCCCAGCTTCTCCACGGAGTTTATCTCAAAGTCTCGGTTGATGATGAACGGCTCGGGGTAGATATTTCTCAAAAAGCTGACAAGGTCGATGTCATCATCATTTTTTGTAACTCCTCCAGAGGAAAGCTCTAAACGCAGTGTGCACAGCAGCAGCAAACAGTGCCAGTTCTCCATATTGTGATAGAATACTCTTAATACTTCCCCAGACCAGCTGCCTAGATCATGATTTGACCTGACTTATGGCTGCGGCCCTCATACGCTTGCAGCCTGAAACTCTCTGCACACTCTGCATGCTTGTGACTCCAATTTGCCTGGTTCCTTATTCAGATTAAACAGACAAAAGCTGCTCTGTCTTACTGTTGAGTGCTGTCCAGTAGACTCTGAACAGCTGGATGCAGACACTGCGGTGCAGGACCACTAATAGAGGACGAGTCGTCTTTCCTTTGCTTAATGTAATCGCAGTCACGCACAAATGGTAAACAGGGATGAGCCAAGCAGAGGGCTCCATGAATGGTTTCTGTGCTTATATAAAAATCAGTTTCTCCTTCACCATTCAGACTTATCAGTCACTGATGTATAATTAAAACCAATACATTTATTAATACACTTTTCTTTACAGACAGAGGACAGCAAACATAAGGTACACAGTGCCATCTACAGGCCTTATGTACAACAACATGCCACAGTTATTCTGTAATTGGGGTTATGTCATAGAAAAGTATGCTTTGATTTCTAATTTTTATTATTTTATTTTATTAACACACATTTCCCAATTTTGGAAGATCTCAATCTTTAGCATGTCAGCTGTTCTCGAAAAGAATTAAAAGTCGAATTTAAATCCAGAAAATTCGTCTTTTTTTTAAGCATCGGATTAGATAATTCTCTTGTTTCCAGTAATAATGATTACAGTGTGATATTTCTTTTTGAGTTGCACCCAGAGTTCAGACTGTAGAATCACTTATAAAATATGATGGAAGCAGTTTCTCGTGTAATTTCACCATCAAACATATAGATGGTATGTTTTTTTCAGATTAACCCTTTTTTTTTTTATTGCAAAGTGTTAATTACTTAACATTCTGACGATAACTGATTGTAGTAATATGTTATTATAAATAAACGAATGCGTATTATTACAATAAAGCTGGAAAGCAGAATATAAGCAATTAAAATAATCTCCAGCTGTAACATATAAAGTGACGCACTACACATGAATCAATCGGTAAGTATGACCCACTTGGCTTCACCTGGAAACAGACGTGTACATATCATCTCCCTATAGCAGAGTATCGACCAGCGTGCGCGATGGCATGTCGCCGAACAGGAGATGAAAACATTTGCACATTTGTGTAATCCTTCGTGGTCTTCCCCTCTGCATTAGCAGATAAAGAATAATACAACGTATCGCTATTGGTGCAACACTAGGCGGGGTTTTTTTTTCTGTTCCTAACAAATAAAAAAGACTTTGCTGCTTCTTTACGTCAGTAATCCGTCACCGAGGATCTGACAGGTGAGCTGAAAGTGCACACCTGTCGCTTATTAGCAGCCTGCTGATTCAAGCCCCGGCCTTCTTTTAATAAACGCGACCTACTTTCCTTTGCTGGATTTCCAAAGAACATGTAAGGAAATAACTCATCACTACCGGCTCATACAAACTTATCTCACTCAAATTCAGCGGATTTATATGCTTCTAATATTTTCAGGAACTCCTTACAGTACTCGTTCGTCTTCTTCATCCTGGTGCCTCATGTCATATCGCTCGGTGAGTTTGGTTGCTGAGGTAAAATGGTGAAAATAAAACGTGACATCTGGAGGTGTTCTCATCGACTTTCTTCCAGGACGCTGCAACGATATTTCCTTCTCGTTGTGTTGGATGAGCAAAGGGAATGATCTGGACAGGTAAACGGGATTCATTTGCATAATCTCCCCCTGTGCTGTTCAGAGACCTCAGGACAAATGTAAAAGGGGTGAAATAAGTATTTAGTTTCTTAAATAAGTTAGTAGTACAGAGGTTTTAACATGAAAAATATGCGTTAGGTACCTTAATTAAAAGTACCTGTATTTACAGAACTGCATACATTATGATCAAATAATTCTTAATGTTTATTAAAGTTTAATGTAACAAATGTTTTAAGATCACTATAACCTCAAGAATTCATACACCAATGACAAAACTTCCCACTATTACATTAGAACTACTCAACTGAAGTAACTGAGTAAATATACTGTTTAGTTTTGATCAAAGAGGTCTAATGAGCTTAGCCAACATGACTTACTGTATTAGATGATAAAGAGAACAGCTTGTTAAAACTTCAAATGTGACCAGATCATGTTATGCTGCCCATGTCTGAATAAGGGTGACGATAAACAGGCAGCTATTAATCAGTCATATGGAATGATCATGTAATATACGGGAGATGTTTCCCATTCTTTAAGGAAAAATGGAGACATACGGCTCAATGGCACATCATTAAAATCCATCAGAAAGGCGGGCAAAGTGACTTCTGTGACTCTGTCGCCGGGTGTTGAAAACCAGCTCACCCTCCAATATGGTGGCTCTGTCCAGGCATGGACTCTAACAGTTCCACAAAGCCCACGTAAGCAACACACCTTCTTAATCCCAATTTAATCTGACACCCCAACCTCTTGTTTAATGTTCCTTTAAATGTGTTTACTTCACCCCAAGGTGTAAAGTTTACTAAAATCAGAGGCCGAAAGCAGCCACTACAACATCCAACAAATGCCACTAAGGTACTTTTGACAGCAACTTTTACACAGATGAGTGGTTATATTAGATTTCATGCACAGTCCACCTCACTGCATAGTTTGATTGCTGCTGGGATCTGATCGTTCCTCAGGATTTCCTCAAGTTGTTGAGTCCCACTGAAGTGTTTGCATGTGAAAATGGAACCGTATACTTCCAACAGGAGGAAAATTTCTTCCTTGCTTTGGGTGAGTGTCGTTCCTATAGTTGCACTTTAGACAGCAAAACTGGGAAGTCACCTGAACCAGCTATGAAATGGTCCTTAGCAGCAGAATTGCATAAAACCACAGGGTGTTATTTATATATGGATAGTTGTTTCCTAATGTTTATACCCTGTATTTATAATAAACTGGTAAAAGATGCCAATTTTGTCATTTAACTATTAGCAAGAAGGTAAGTGACCATTACTGATGTTGAATATTCAGGAAAGGTTCTAGTCTCTTCTGCCTTGCATTGATGTTTGCTGCTAACTTAATCCAACCAGTATCTAAC